CCCTAACACAATGGTGGTTGATTCTAGACATTGTTCCAAGGCTTAAGAGATGTTTAACGGGCATTTTAACACCTTAAATGGTGTTCACGGCCTATGAAGGAGGGTTTACGGTCCAAGCATGATCTTGGGCCGTAAACTCATGTTTACTCCCTAAATGTTAAGATTTTGGTGTTCCAAGTCCATTCATGAAAGCCCCTAAGTCATATCTAAGCTCCAGAAGTGGTTTGGAAGGGTTTTGGGGCTCCAAAACCCCATTTAAGGGTGTTTACGGTAAAGCGTATCAATGTTTATATATGTTTATCTATATATTTGTTAATGGTAAATCGTGTCAATGTTTATATATGTTTATCTATATATTTGACATTTTATGGTATTATGCAGAAGAGGAAATTAGGACGTGATCCAACCCATAGTGAATTGTTCCTGTATACACACACAAAGAATCACGATGGACTCACTTTAAAAAACGAAAAAGATAGACAAATTCATGTAATATTCATTTAAGTGTTAAACTTTTATATTGTAGCTAGTCCGTAATATCATTCATATCTTTGATATCTTTTAACTTATATTATTTTTATTTTGTAGGCGGCCTATACAAAAAAACGGGAAGAGTTGGAAGCTGAAGGTGTTGAATTTGAAGAGGACAAGCTATTTTATGATGTTGTTGGTGGTCATGACAAAAAAACAAGACTTTATGGATTAGGCTATTTTGCAAAGCTGGTTCCCGGTAGAAACGGTAAAACGGATCTCTCATACATTCAGGAAAAAAACTGATGAAATAGACCAAATGAGAGAGCTTCTTGCTAAACAAAATGAGCAAAACGAAGAGCTCAAAGAAATGATGAAGGTCCAATAAAAAGAAAACAAAGCAAGGGTCGAGCATCTTCAAAAACAACTTCAAACAACAATGGATCTTATTAATGTCTTCACAAAACAACAACACTAGTATGTCATAAAGTGTTGATATATGTTTATTGCAGAATATTTATTTTAGATTAGCAACTTTTCTTTTTCCATCTAATAAATAATTATTGTATTATTTTATGATATAATGTTTTGAATTTTTTTTTGTTATTTTTTTCATATATTACTACAAAATAATTTGGATATAATTTCTAAATCAATTATCCATCAGTCCATATGGAATCTGGAATATAATATGCACCATGAAAATTGCTAGGGATTCATGAGCACAAAATTTGCTAGGAAGTCATCAAACGAAATTTGTTAGGGATTCATTACCACAAATTTTGCTAGGGACTCACAACTACGGAATTTACTAGGGAATGGCCACCACATAATTTAGTAGGGATTCACCACCACAGAATTTGTTAGGGAATCATCACAACAGATTTTGCAAGGGATTAACTACAACGGAATTTGTGATGGAATTACAACCATGTAATTTGTGATGGAATCCTACTATGGAATATACGACGGAATACCATCTACCATGGATTTCATTCCGTTGTTACAATTGCGATGGAATGATTGTTTCCCTAGCAAACGCTCACTACGAGATTTTTTGGCACGAAACTCGATCGTCGAAAATTTGGTCGCTATTCATCATTTGCAACAGAATTTCATATTTTCGCAACGGAATCCTTCCTTAGTAAGATCGCGTTTTTATTGTAGTGTTTTCGATTTGATGTAAGCTCATGTGGGGACCCAACTACCCGTGACGCGCATTGCCTAATTTCAGTTTTTGAAACTTTTTCTCCATGTTAATTTCACCTTTTGCACTCGAGAAACCATTTGACTCATTGGCTCATTGCTAAGATATCAAACAAAAAGAAATTGTGAGATACAACGAATATAAGGAACCTAAATTTCTTCGGTGGTAAAGTAGTACTCGCTATAGCCACTCTCAAGTACTAGATTATTCTCGAAAATAAGAGATTACATTCGCACCATAATCTTTATAACATTGTAAAAAGGAAACCGACAAGAAGGCTAGTTGCTAGAACACTAATTGGTTGGGCCAAAATTAAGTCATCACATAGATAACCCGAGTCACCATGCCACCTCTCGTGAACCCAAAAATCCTTCATAGTGGATGCAATCTACTTCTAAAACATGTGTGTGTCAAAAGCATGACGTTGAATAAAATAATATAACTTTTAGTCCAAATATAATTAGATTTTAAGAAAAGTTATTTTGAGACTTATAAATTAGGGTGGTCGATCCAATTTACATATAAGAAGTAATAACATTATACCTTCTATCATTATCATTAGACGATACCATGTCAACTCCAACATCAGGATTAGTACCAATAGTGTGAGAGTGGAGAGGATTCCATCACTAACCACCATTAGGAGAAAGTACGAAAAAAATAGATGAAATTGCTTAAGATTGTAATATGAGACAATAAAAATCAAATCGGCTGTTACATTTATTGTTAAATCGATTGGTAGGTTCGAAAATAAGTGTCCAAAAATTTTACCGTCTTCAAAGCTGGTTAACATATTTGGAAAGTACTTGTTAACATGATCCCGATAATATAAGATTTGTAAAAATGAAACTCCAAATGAGAGAGTTATAGATTTTATACAAACAAAAATCAACTACGTAATTGAAGTTAATTACATCAAAACGGTACTTAGGAATTGGTTGAGTTTTGACTAAAAGTACAAAAAGGAGGTTTGCAGTACTCCTTGAGATATAAACTATAGGAAAAAGAATGCCAAAAATAGAATCCGTATGAGTGACATGATTTTTATAAAATCATTTAATTTTACCCCATTAGGAACGAAAATAATAGTCAAAACTAGCTAAAAAAACCTAAAGGAGAACTGTAGTACTACTTGAGATCATTACATAGATATAAAGATGACTTAGATCGGAGCATGCACAAAAGAGTTATAATTTTTACAAAATCATTTCGTGCGTGCTTGGTGTGCGCCTATCCCATCACACACCTGACATCAGATTTGAGTAGAATGTAAGTGATGTGGCCAATTGGGGAGGTGACACGTGACCATCTCTAGATAGAGCCACGATGATCATGCACCATGTGCAAGATCCTTGCGCCGCACGCACCCAACTTTCATGCCTATAAATGGAAGGTGGCACAGAATCCATTATTCACACCTTCTAAGCGTATGTCTCTTAACTATCGATGTTGCTGACCCTTGGAGTCGTCCCCGGAGTCCCGAGCTTGATTCAACACTACACCAACAGTCTCACACATCAAGGGTGAGTTTGCATCCTCTTTTAACTATTTCAAAGGTTTTACCGGGGGAATACATGTTTATCAATCTGCTTTTTTTTGAAATGGATTTATATCTATAAAAATAAATCTTTATATAAAGCATGAAACCTTAAGATAATGCAGCTATAGAAACTATATCTAGTTCTAAGCTACAATAATATGCCTAAGAGTTATGACGTCTGATAGTCTATGAAGAGATATTACCTAGATGTTATAATGGTCAATTATGTAGGTTAACATAGTACCTAGAAGTAATGCTAGTCAACTATAAGGATATGCAATGTATCAAATTTTTACTATGCCTAAATATCCTATTTTAAATTAACCATAATTAATGTACATATATGTACGGAAAAATAATATATATTTATATATATATATATATATATATATATATATATATATACACACACACAAACAAGATAACTATGAGATCAAAACGTTTTAATTACCAAATATAAATGTAAAAGATATATATTGTGATATTTAAAGGAAATCACTAAGAAAGAAAGACAAAATATAAAGCACCTAAGGTTAATGTTTTAGTGAGCTAATATTATTCATCATTAGCTTGATTAAATTCGGCTACCCCGAACCTGTAATCCTTAATCTTGCAAGAGCTAGAAAAATATGTATAGATCTATACGGTGATTGTTTGTGTACAACGTCAATTATGGGGGCTTATGGTTATACATTATAACCACCTTAGCGATATGATTACCTTAAGGGACGCCTTCAAGTAATAAATAAAATACATTAGGATTAACAAAAATATTCTTAAATATAAAGATAGTAAGATATGAGCGGTAAAATATCCTACAAGGATAGAAAGATACGAATGGTAAAATATACTACAAAGATAAAATAAGTTAAGGTCGGTTAGTTATCTTAACAGAGATAGGAAGATTTTTCTAAAAATAAAAAGGATTTTTAAAATAATATTAAATAAAACAGAAAGCTATAAAAACTTGTGAACTCACCAGCATTAGATTGATGTTTTCAAAATTGATGTTTTCAAAATACATGTATTCTCAGGAAGATGAGTGTAGAGGATAGTAGTGTAGAGGAGGATGTCACCAAGGAAGCTTGATGGAGTCTATTTCTACTTTTTTGTCATTTCTAGTAATGTTAGGAAGGTGTGCTTGATATAGTAAACAATGTCATACCAAATAAATTATAATAAATAAACGTATCGTTTGTGTTATATTATTTTGTAATGTTTAATATATCATTGTGCCTTGATCCATGATATTATAAAAACTATATATTTAAATCATATATTAAGATTTTAGTTCAAAAACGAATCCTATGGATAGTATAGTACTGTGGTCGTACCACAAATAGACCTAGAATGCACAACTAAGTTTAATTATGGACCAACTGACTCAAACCTAAACCTAGATTGCGTAGTTCACAATCTACATGGTTGAGGATTTATGGATCAATAGTTTAGTATGATTAGTTAACAGATTAGGACAAGGCCTACGACAAGAGGATCTTCAAATCAGAAGCATATATTAACTTTCTTAAGACTAGAGCCTTAGATGAAAACCTTTTGCAAGAAGACTCAACACATAGTAGAATGGTAAACCTTGAGGATATCCGAATTAGAGACAAGTATCGAAATACCCCCCATATAAAGAGTCACCAAATATACGATACTATATATATATATATATGTGTGTGTGTGTGTGTGTGTATGTGTATACACACACTTATAATATGAAATTATATACATTATATATTATCTCTCATAAACATCTTCGCGTTTGATGTCGTATGCATGATATCAGAGCAATATGGAGGATATATGGGATTGGGTGTCACATCCTTACCCGAAAGAAGACAAATTGGTACCACACACGCCTACGGAAGAGAGCGATTATGATCTGACGATTCCCCTACCCCTTCCCAAGAATCATATGATGATGAGCCGTTTAAAGATGAAGAAGAGCCCATCGAGGAAGAGGAGTTAGGTGGAGTGCTTGTGGATAGTTCACCTTACCCATATTCATCTTCCCAAGAACATCTCGCGGAGGCCCAGGAGGAGGATCCTACTGAGTTAGAGTCATCCCTAGGGATTTTTTCTCCACTACCTATATCCACAATCCGACCTTATAACACTCATTCTTGGGGACCCATGACTATAATCACGCCTAAAAAGTTTATTCCCATCCCTTTCTGAAAGTGAGTAAACCACACCGCCATCATTAACGAGATCAATAAAGAAGCCTTACCCCATGTGACATCCCCAATTTCACGGCCAGAAAAGACCGGTTTTTGTTTATACTTTATTTCAAAATCAGAGTAACCTTTTAATAAAAGAATTGCAGAATTTGTCCCAAAACAATAATATGATAAAGATTTAGAAAAAGCATTTCCTTAGAAATGTATTTCATTAAAAGACTTGGGATGTCATCTTCGATACAATACATAAGTATAAACAGTACATTATAAGCCTTACAACAGTTATTTACAACTAATGGCCTATAAACCAAAAGTCCCTCATCATCATCATAATTATGCTCTGAGTCCACTACCTGTAAACAGAAAGCTGAGTGGGTCAGGCTTGGGAGCCTGGTGAGCATATAGGGTTTTCAACCCACAAATAATGTTAAGTCCCGAAAACAGATCTACCAATGATCAAAGATAATCACAGAAGCAAACACGAAATAATAAGCAAGTATAGAACGAAATACGAAGCTTGCATACGCTTTAATGCTATAAAACGTCTGATACAACTCGGAAGAATACGAAAAATCAACGACCAATAATGACTAACACAACCACTATTTATAGGCTAGACAAATAATCACGACCGTACAGAGTTTACGGCCGTAAAGAGTTTACGGCCGTAAACTCAGTCTGACCGTAAACTACAAACAAAAGAATTACAATCACACCCCTACTGCTATTAACTACTATACCTAGACCAAACCACTATACAAGGTCTTTCAATCTCCCCCTTGGTTTGGACTAGCTCGACCCCATTCCTTTCTTTACCAGCATGACGTCCATTTGACCCACAGCACCATTCCACATCCGCTTGCTCAGAATCTCAGCAACCATCTTGGTATACGCCTTGGCCCCCTCTTCATAGATATCTTCAACCACTTTGATCTGAAAATTGCTTAAGTAATGAATATCCCACTTCCTGAATTGTAGTAGGTCTCTTCGATCATACAATCGTATGCATCCATTCTTAAGCTTAATGACAGCGCCACAAGTACTCTCATCATAAACCCAACACTCCATAGAACCAAGTGACCCATCTTGATAACCTTGAGCAATGGGATACTGTTTAACTTGAGTTGTGGGTGGCCACATAACCACTTGCAAAGGTTTATCAGAAGAAGCCTCAAACACATCTGGATGTTCTAGAATAACTGATTCGGCAGTTGGCATTGTCGGAAAGCCCTTTTTTACTTGCTCTTCCAGAAAGAATTTAAACTGTGAAACTTGAGGATTATTTAATAGATTGATGAAAGGAGCTTGTGACAACTCCGTAAGATCAACCCGTGTCAACGAACTAAAAGCACGAATATCTTTATACAACTCTGAGTTACCACTCTTGCGAATGATAATCCAAAGTCGAAGAGGATCGTGAAATCCCCAAGCGGCTACACCCGAACGATCCCCATAAGTATCTCTAAACTGAACAATTTCAAGATCAGTCACAGTAATCAAAGACCCCCCTTTAGAAGAACCCCGAGTAGCATTTCTCTTGAATAACAACTGCCCCTTCTCAGTATCATCTTCTTGATTTTTCCGAATAATCTCTTGAATATGGGAAGCCATAGGAGGAACAACAGCAATACGTTCAACAGAACCAGAAGATTGACCAATTGGCACATTTACGGGATATGCTTGCACATGTAAATTTATTCTTTGTTCTTCTATGTTCGTTTCATACTTATCACCAAAATCATCCTCCAATTTCCTTTTCAATTCAAAGTAGCTCGAAGTTTGCAGATTAAAGTGTTCTTGAAGATCAAAAATCTGCTTACTTTTCACTTTCTTATCCCTTTTAACCTCTGCTAGCTCCCCACCAAGATAAGTTCTATCTGACTGAATGTTCTGAGCATGAAGTTCAGCTACTTGAATGTCAAGCTCTATGTTCTTCTGACTTAACACAACAATCTCCTTTTTTAAACTAGCAAAGGATGAATCATCATCTTGAGCACCCCCTTCGTTTATAGAAATACTCCTTCCTTGAGGACTGGACGAACGAAGCTGTTCTTCTGCCATGTGTAAAGCCATTCTCTCAGAATTAGCATCCCTATTTAATCTTGGAACAGGAAAACCAGGAGGAGCTGAGGGGCCACCAACATCAAAAACTAAACTAGGTCCAGTGGTGAACATCTTTGTCACAGAAAGTCGCGTAGTAGCAGTAGTAATTGGTAGTGTAGGAAGACCACTGACCAAACTTGTGATTAACTCGGATTGTCTTTCATCAAGTCTTCTCCTTTTCGAATAAGGTTGATCAGCTTGTGGAGGTATTACACTAACAAATGGTTCAGTTGTAGGAGAAATAGATACAGGAGGGGAACATCCCACAACTATCTCCATTGGAATTGAAGTTGAAGTTGACACCATTTGCTCAGAATTTGGAGTAAGAGTTTCCCTTGACTTCCTCATTTCTGTTGTCGGCAAAACACCATCATCGATATTTTGAAAAATTGTGTCAAGAGTCTCATTGGACACAACATTAGCACTACTAGCTAAGGAAGTTGCGATATCATCATTATCAAATCCCGTAAGATCAAGATCTTCAAATGAATCATACCTATCATCACCGGTAACCATTTCCCTTTCATCTTGTCTCTCAGTCGATTCGTGTTCATGACGAGAAACACTTTGGTCTTCCGGAGTTGGCGAATCTTCATCATCCTCAGTCACATCTATTACCATGTTTGCTGGAGTCGAACCCTCAGTAGATGTTTTCTCAGAAGAGGTCGGTTCTGACGAATTGTATGTCACAGACGTCTCATCTAATTCAGTAAACTTTCCAAATTTCTCCAATGGATAACACCCTCGAAAGACAACTTTTCCTCTTCTATTTTGTTTAATGAGTCCCACAGTATGTGGACCCAAAGATTTCATATCCAAAGTGTCCCCCGCCTTTCTAACCTCAGGAAACTGCATCTCGACAAACAATTGAATGAACCGGGGATATTGGACAAAGGTATCCCTCGTAGATGCCCGGATGTTTATTACAAATTCCACTAGGATGAACTTCGAGAAATTGAAATGAATTCCTGCAGCCAAAGACACCAACGCACCAGTTGTGCGTTGAGAAATTTCATCAGCTCCACTTCTTCTACCCGATATGCAACTTACGAACACATGAGCTAAAAATCTCCAATACGGATGGAGCAGCTTTTTCAACGTTGGCGGGTAGGTTCCCTCATAACTCATTCGTTGTAGTATTCTCTGAACATCTTCGATACCGATCTCCGTCGGATAACTAGGTTGAGCATCAATCAACAACGCATCTCTAATAAAACCTTCATTGATCACGATGTCTCGTCCTTGTACCTTCGCTGCAACTAAGAAATTTCCATCCTCATCCATCTGCGTCCTAGCCGTTTCCCAAAATTCACGAACAATGTTCTGATATACCAGCGGATTGACAGTTAATGTTGATGCAATACAACATTCACGTAACCTGTGAACCATTGATAGCATATCGGAATGTACGACAGGTGGATCAGCAAGAACGATTGCCAGATTGTGCATGTCTGCAAACCTGAGATTTGCCATTTGCCTGCACTCAAACGTAATTGTAAGAAACCGACACCAACTTATTTTGACCAAAAAAAAATAGGACAATAAACATATGATCAAAATAAAAATAAAAATTAAAAATTAAAAGAAACAAAACTTTTAGCACTTTGGTTCTTTGGCCGTAAACTCTAGTTTACGGCCTAAGGAACACCAAAAAAAACTTTTTGGTTCACGGCCTAAGCAAAAGAGACACGCAATCGTTACCCAATCAAAATTAGTTTGAATCGGTAGTTTGTTCTTGGGCCGTAAACTCTAGTTTACGGCCTGGAAATTACTTCGAAAACACAATGCACATTTATCATTTAAGTCTTTCAAACAATCCAGGGTAATTGCACTTGAATTCACGGGCCGTAAACTGAGAGTTTACGGCCTATGAATGTTTACTCCGAAAAGTGGCTAAAAATCGATCTTTCTCTTTGAAATAACAAACGAAAAACATATAGTCGTGATCATAAAGATACATAGCATCATAATAAAATAACTTCGAATCAAAATCATCAATTTTCAGAGTTTACGGCCTAAGCTTACGGCCGTAAACTCCTCGACTCGATTTTTTAAAATTTTTAAACACAATGCGATGATCTACACGATGCTACCTTCACGATGATGTACTCGTTTTTCTGAAAATCGAAGATAAAATTTTTGACACCTTGAGAGCTTTTGGGAGATAGTTTGCGGCTGGAAACTGTTGAGTGGGGAGATTCCGGCCGTGAACTCCCCTTTTTACCTTTTTACCTTTCTTTCTTTCTTACCCTTTTACCTGATAGCTACCCAGTATTTCCAATTTTTCGCCAGTTAATTAAAAAACTTTTGAGGATTCATTTAAATAAAAAAAAACCTTTTAAAAACAGAAAACTAACACACCATAATTTTAAATGCTAGAAAAATAAAACTAATCTAAATAGAACAATAAAAATAAAAATAAAATTAACATAAAATTTGAAGTTGCAAAGATTAAATAAGAATAAAATTAAAAATAAAATAAAATAAAATAAAATAAGATTAAAATTAAAATAAAAATAAAAAAAAACTTTAACTGCTATTTCTTTTGTGATGCTTGGATCAAAGTTATTTGACGTCCTTATTCTACTTATCAGTACCCTTATCTTCACATCTTCGTCTTGACCGATTGCCAGTATTGTGGTCCACTTAAGCGCGAAGGATTTGTGACATTTTTAGACCTTTTACCAATGACATGATTCGGGCATATACCTAATTGTAAAATTTTGGTAATTTTGATAACTCCTAACTCTTAAGTGAAATCATCTTATGACCATTTAATTGACTACAACCAAGGATATTGTTGTCCATCTAAATCGAGCAGCGAGATCTACAGACAATCTGTATGTGTTCAATTTTAAGTGCACTGGAATGTGTTTCCCGCTTCCTGATATGCCC